CCCCAAAACCCCAAAACCCCCCAAGAGAGGCTATTTAAATAAAAAATTTTCTGAAACATTCTGCAAATCAAATAATATTATCATTTTAATAAAAATGCAAAAACCTAATTTTTAAATTATAATTATAAAACATTGTACAATCTTAATTAAAATAAAATGGAAAGTGTGAATAGGAATACAGGGTAGGATGACAGTAGAAGATTGTAAGAAATAAAATTCATACTAGACTTAAATTATTTTTACCTTATAGGACAATGACAAATCTAAATTTGTTCGATTAGTACCCTTTTGCATTTTAGCAGAATGGATAAAAAATTGATCTCAATGATTCATATTATCAAAGAGATAAATGATTATTACCGAATTCTAGCTAAATTTAATCAGAACATTCAGCTACTCATGATGATGATTTGTATGACTATAATTTGTGGAGCATTTTTTCAAAAGCTGAGAAAGGTAATGAGTTGATTTGCTTTAAGCAACTTAATGAAGCGTATAAAGGGAAGGAATTTTAAAATTGCATCCATTTGTAATTTCTACTTAAAAAGAGTGCTATCTTTGAAGAATTGAAACAAAATATGTAGATAAATGATTCTTATGAGCTTAATGTAAAAGATTTAGATGAATTTATGAAAGATGATCTGTTTGCTCATAGTAGTTTGCCTATTATAATGGCATATTAGGCTGTTTGCTGCATGATTTGCCTATACCATAATCGCTATTTCAATCTGAAGATAAATGATAGAAAAAGTCTGATGGTATTTAATAATAGTGTTTTACTATTCGGATCATTATCAATGGAGAATTATCATGAAAGCTATCTAGAAATGAATTTCCTAGGTTATGAGGATGATGTATTTAACAAGATAAGCGAGGATATTACTAATCTGATATGTCTAATTAATGAAATGCTTGATAAGTCTTAAAGAAATCACATACAAATAAAGTAATTAATAAGTGACATCAATTCGATCTATCTGGAGTGTAACAGCGATGCAATGTAGACAATTAATTTTAAATTAGCCTTATTATCCAAATTAAGAGATATCTTAGCCACTAATATTCTAAAAAGTCTTAACATACTAAAGTAATTGTTCAGTTCGATTGAAGAAAATAAAGACATCTTCTTCTATTTCTACATGTTGTTGTTTGCAAACCTCAAACTAACAATATAGACAGGCTCAACCTAATATACCTTTTAGAGTGACTTATAGAATGAAATAGAGTAGTGCCATAAGATTGGCGGACTAGTAAATAATAGTTTACTTATTGACTTTGGACCTAAGTAATCTCTTCTCTTTAAGGAATATAAAGAAATTTTAGAAAGCTATAGTTCAGTTTTTAAGCAAATAATGAAAGAAATTAGATGAAAAGTATTAGCAACATTATAGCTCTTGGAATAACTTAAATCTTATTAACAATTCTTTAATTATAAACAGTTTGATATCAGGTAAATTAAATCTTCATTAAATAAATTTTACATCCTTTAATAATATAAATAACTTCTTATGGGGTTTTGGGGTTTTGGGGTTTTGGGG